AATGTAATGTTTATAATTAGTATGGTGATGGAGTTATCAGTGTTATGACGGAATACCTCGTGCTGGTGACGAATTAAAAATACAATGTGTCGTCACTCCTTGTCATCCATGGGAGTCGTTACAGGTGACTAACGGACACCACTTAAGCATATTACACTACTCCCACTGAAAGGAAAATTCGAACTAAAGCACTATACCAAACCGTCTGGCCACCACTGCAATAGTGGACTACAACCCCTTTTACAAGGAAATTTTGATGTTCAGCAAATATTTTGCTATTTATTGCTTATTCTTATTAATGTATTAAAATTGACACAAGACGATATTTACATGGGAGATTTTAAGAGAAATTTATAGAAGGCGAAGCAATATTTTTTAGGAATTTTGTCTGTCTGTCTTTTAATTAATATATGTTTGTTCCGGCAACACGCAAAACCTACTGGACTAAATTGCGTATGGTTTCCACAGTGGTTGTCCTGATAGTCTACCTTAAAAATAGGTGTCCGTTTTATACGTCACATAGGAGTGCTCTATTTCATTGATATTCCCGCTTCTGAAATTCACGCTTGTGAATGAAATAACGAGTAAAAAGTTAGTAAATAGTAAATGCGTAAAAATAGCGATGCGTGTATTACGATCATTTTTTTTTATTTTAATATTACATCTGGAATCAACAGCTTATATCTATAATAATTAATTTATTGTTACAGAGTCCCAATTTATATTCTTATTTTTGGAGATTTGGACAATATTATACTTATAAATATAAATATAAATTATTTGAAACGTCGCGTCACTGGAAGTTCAGCAATAATTAGTGTAAAAGCGTGGATTATTTTTATTAAGTAAGACATATGATGAAACTGAAGATTTATTATTAGTAGTATCTAAGGTTACGACTGCCATTTTACAATAACTCATCCATTCAAGATTCACTTACAAAATATTATTTGGACAAATTAAATTATATATATTATATATAGTTTGAGAGAGAGATTTTTTGTCTGTTACCTCATAACTCCGTCAGTTGTAAACCGACTTATATATATATTGTGTCATTACGCCGTATAGGGAAGAGCACTGCTTATCCTAAAGTACAGGATTTACCTATTTAGGGAGCAGGGTTTCACCTATATTTAAAAATGTTTGTAACTTATGTTATTTGTGTGTTGCGTGAATTTAGTGTACAAAACTAAAAATTATGGTGGTGTTCAGGTTACCACTTGCCATCAAGTGGGCAGCCTGTTATTCTAAGTATCAGAAATAAATAGCCATTCAGTTACAATAATACCTACATCCGATATATTCCGGAGCGATGCGTCGATGGACCAAGTAAATAGTTTACAATGTAACCGTGTACGTGTACTCACGATGTCAATGCCAAGGCTGCAACCTTGCCATAAACAAGTGCACTACACTGACACATTCAGTGCGATCTGTCAATATGGCCGTGCGGTGTAAATACAAATTAGGCCCGTTCAACCTCTCCAATTTTTAATTTTTAACGATCTTTATATGATATGACTTTGTCCGCCTTTTTTTTATACAACTTAGAATGGGAAACAAGCTGACGGTCCACCTGATGGAAAGTGGTAACTGTCACCTATAGATATGAGTAGTACCATGGTCGTAACTGTTTCGTCCATGCGTTGCCATTCCTGAGGACTCACGTGTTATTCCTCCGTACCCAGTAAATTCTCGCGTGACCGAGGTGTGTTCGTTGACCAAAATAAAATTCTTCTCCGTTCAACATACCAACTATATATCATATTACATACATTGGTTGAAACATTAAAAATCCCAACAGATAACAAACAAACCAACTCATTGGCATTTCGTCCACAATTCCAAAATTATCAGTAATAAATTCCTTTTTATCTACAGAGTTGATTTCGTTGAGGTCTCTTCTAATATGTCAAAGTAATATCAAATTATTTTTTATTTCTATTTTCATAACATCATCATCATCATCATCATCATCATCATGTCAGCCGTTGTCAGTCCACTGCTGAACATAGGCACATTCCGTTCTGCAACCGTTCCTTATGGCACTAACTCCCTGCAATGCATTTGAAGTCGTCACTCCATCTAGCGGGGAGTCATCCCAGACTGTATTGTTTATATATAAAGAATAATTCGCTGAAGTGAAAAGTTTCATTAAAAAGAAAAAAATCACAAACTTTTTTATTCATATAATTTTTTTTTGGGGTAGAAACCTTCGCGAGCGTCTTGTGAAACCTTACCAATTTTATCAATGGTTTAGGAACGCATAGACTACAAACATACAAACATTCATGTTTATTTGTAAATAAATAGATTAAGCATTGTTCTGTTCTGTATATAAAATCATTCTATAATAATTTGTTAATTATTTCTTTATACAAAGGTAGTTGCATTGCAGCGTTTGGTATCTCCTGTTAAGCAAAGATTGCTTGTTTTAGGAAAAACAGCTCATTCTATAGTAACGTATTGATTGTTAACGCAACGTAATGTAACGTAATTCTAGAGTAACATATTATGATAATTGATTAGTTGTAACGGGGAGTAGAAATAAAGTACTATCATACCTACTTGTACAATAATTAGTCCATTACCTTAAGGTTGTCTTGAAAAGATTGCTCTCAGCAATAAGACCGCCTTACTGTACTTATACAATTGTATCGTTGTGTTTTTTGTCTTGCTTATTTCCTATATTGTATAATGCAAATAAAGTATACTCATTCATTCAAATAGGGTTAATTAGCTTAAAATTAAACGTAACGATGTTTTAATTCATTTGCTACAATATATGAGGTCGTTTCCACGAGATGGAATGACAACTGTTAATGAGTAACTATTTGATAACAGAACAGACATTACTACGTGGCGACATCTAACTTCAAATTAATTGGAGGTTTTATTTTGGGTGCAGTGCCCAGCAAATAATAGAAATACTTAAATACTTTTTTGTAAATACTTTTTTTGTAATATTATTATTCTGCGAGTCCAAATTCCAATTTTCCAAGTCGGTTTAAAGGAAACAGATGTAAATAAAAAAAATCTAGTAATAATTTGCACGTTACTATTTGTTACTAATTTCATATGGAGAGCGTTCCTAGGACGATTACAAGCAAACTTGCGTTTCCTTTTCATCGCGTTCTATAATATAAAAACAAACAAATTGTTTACTGTGGCACTAGAGTGCACAAAACATTGTTGCACATGCACCGAGTCAATGCCAAGGCCATTCACGCTGTACGCTGAGCTGACACACGGCAGAATTGTTTACTTCATTATCTACCTACTTGCATTCATCTATTGTATAGCACTTCCTCACTGGAATTATAGAGCAAAACAAAACATAACATTCAATTATGCGACGTAACCTTTTGCATAATTTTATAGCGGGATTTCCTCGAAAATTTCTGTTTCAATATGGTCGATGAACATTGAAGATTTTCGTATAGTAACTTGTCATCTTCATTGATTTCAGTCTTTAACTGTCCACTGCTGATATATGCTGGCATAAGCCTCTTCTTTAGGGGGCAATAATTTGGCAATAATTGCCACACTTGACAGGCAAATTGGCAACTGCAGCTAGGGTTTGGAGATGTTTTAAGAGGGACGTTGCTGCCCGTCTCACGAATTCCTTTAGTCGCCTCTTACGACACTCAAGGTAAAGGAAGGGGTGGCCTATTCTATGCCGGGATCACACATCCAACTTGTCATACAGATTTTTAATGTTTGTTAATAGTTATCATTAACAGTTATCTTTGGAGGGTGTGTTCTAATATTTTACTTCATTCAGTAGTGGCAAATAAATAACTCAATAAAATTTTCACATGTCTCTTTTTATATAACAGACTTCATAAAAGACAATATTTGAAGTTATAAACGTTAAATCTCGAAGTCTTCTCCGCTAGTTTGTTGTTGTTATAACGATTTTACTGTTTCTTTTTTATTATTATTGCATGTGGAATATATAATGATTATTATACGTAACTTAATAGCAGAGGGATGGGCAGCAGCGTCCCTCTTAAAACATCTCTGAAAGCCTAACAACGGTTGCCAATCCGCCTGCCAAGCGTGGTATCTACTGGTAAAACTTCCTTTATGGGGAAGGCTTATGTTCAGCGGTGGACGGTTAACGCTGAAATGATGATGATGATGATGATATAGGACTAAAACATGGGGAAGATTTACGTCTTTTTTATTTAAATAAATTGTCGATGTTTTGTCAGAGAAATGGGATTATTTTTTTTATATAATTTAATCTATATACATATATTTTTCCTACGTATACGTATATGAGTATTTTTTCTTTTGATGGGTGAAAATGGAATGGTAACCCCGCCCGCGCTAACGGGATACGCTGGCGGAGCACCAGTGATGGGTGATAGATGAGAAAGAAAACAGGCCAGTTGGCCCATCATGATAAATTCATCTGGAATTAACCATGATAGTTTCCAGGGGGTATCGCGAGGAGGTCGACCTAGTCCCATTGCTAGCAATATACCCAATATTGCTAGCAATGGGATTCTCAGTCTCCATTACTAACAATCCCTTTCCCCCCGTATATGAGTATTAAATATAAGTAACAATTGTTATAGGACCAACTCGAGCGCGACACAGGGCTACGAGCTGACGGTGGGCGCGGGTGCTGGCGGCGTGGGTGCGGCGGTGCAGGGCGGCGTGGGCGGCGCTTGCGCCGTCGCCACCGGCGCCGTTTATAACAGACCTTGACCTTAACCTTAACCAGAAGAGGGAATCTATGTACATAATAGTATACATAAGTACCTCAGACTTATTTTGCCACCACTAAGGGGCAGTAGTTGGACGATATTTTTAAATTTGAAATGTGCTTGTATTACGGTTAAATAACTGGGTACCTTAGTCCTCAGAGCGTCATAATTTACACTGCAATGTTTAGGTTTTTGTTCATAAATATAGGCGAAAATTACCACTTTAAAACAGGCAAACCGTTGCTTTATCATACTGAGTCATACAAATATAGAACTTACTAGGAGGAAGCCTTGCGTTTCCGGGTGGCGCTCGCCGGTGCAGATAAGGCGCTCTCGCACCCCGACATCTCGTATTCCTCCGAGCTGAAGTTCTTCCTCTTCCGGGGATCATGATGCGAGTGGGAGGGCTGCACCAGCGCCGGCAGCGGCGGGTGCGAGGCGACAAGGGCGCCGGCGGCGACGGCGCAAGCGCCGCCCACGCCGCCCTGCACCGCCGCACCCACGCCGCCAGCACCCGCGCCCACCGTCAGCTCGTAGCCCTGTGTCGCGCTCGAGTTGGTCCTATAACAATTGTTACTTATATTTAATACTCATATACGGGGGGAAAGGGATTGTTAGTAATGGAGACTGAGAATCCCATTGCTAGCAATATTGGGTATATTGCTAGCAATGGGACTAGGTCGACCTCCTCGCGATACCCCCTGGAAACTATCATGGTTAATTCCAAATGAATTTATCATGATGGGCCAACTGGCCTGTTTTCTTTCTCATCTATCACCCATCACTGGTGGTCTGCCAGCGTATCCCGTTAGCGCGGGCGGGGTTACCATTCCATTTTCACCCATCAAAAGAAAAAATACTCATATACGTATACGTAGGAAAAATATATGTATATAGATTAAATTATATAAAAAAAAATAATCCCATTTCTCTGACAAAATATCGACAATTTATTTAAATAAAAAAGACGTAAATCTTCCCCATGTTTTAGTCCTATATCATCATCATCATCATCATTTCAGCGTTAACCGTCCACCGCTGAACATAAGCCTTCCCCATAAAGGAAGTTTTACCAGTAGATACCACGCTTGGCAGGCGGATTGGCAACCGTTGTTAGGCTTTCAGAGATGTTTTAAGAGGGACGCTGCTGCCCATCCCTCTGCTATTAAGTTACGTATAATAATCATTATATATTCCACATGCAATAATAATAAAAAAGAAACAGTAAAATCGTTATAACAACAACAAACTAGCGGAGAAGACTTCGAGATTTAACGTTTATAACTTCAAATATTGTCTTTTATGAAGTCTGTTATATAAAAAGAGACATGTGAAAATTTTATTGAGTTATTTATTTGCCACTACTGAATGAAGTAAAATATTAGAACACACCCTCCAAAGATAACTGTTAATGATAACTATTAACAAACATTAAAAATCTGTATGACAAGTTGGATGTGTGATCCCGGCATAGAATAGGCCACCCCTTCCTTTACCTTGAGTGTCGTAAGAGGCGACTAAAGGAATTCGTGAGACGGGCAGCAACGTCCCTCTTAAAACATCTCCAAACCCTAGCTGCAGTTGCCAATTTGCCTGTCAAGTGTGGCAATTATTGCCAAATTATTGCTCCCTAAAGAAGAGGCTTATGCCTGCATCAGCAGTGGACAGTTAAAGATTAAAGTCAATGAAAATGACTAGTTACTCTACGAATATCTTCAATGTTCATCGACCATTTTGAAACAGAAATTTTCGAGGAAATCCCGCTATAAAATTATGCAAAAGGTTACGTCGCATAATTGAATGTTATGTTTTGTTTTGCTCTATAATTCCAGTGAGGAAGTGCTATACAATAGATGAATGCAAGTAGGTAGATAATGAAGTAAACAATTCTGCCGTGTGTCAGCTCAGCGTACAGCGTGAATGGCCTTGGCATTGACTCGGTGCATGTGCAACAATGTTTTGTGCACTCTAGTGCCACAGTAAACAATTTGTTTGTTTTTATATTATAGTTTGCTTGAATAGAACGCGGTGAAAAGGAAACGCAAGTTTGCTTGTAATCGTCCTAAGAACGCTCTCCATATGAAATTAGTAACAAATAGTAACGTGCAAATTATTACTAGATTTTTTTATTTACATCTGTTTCCTTTTATGTGTGTTACCTCATAATTCCGTTAGTTATAAACCGACTTGGAAAATTGGAATTTGGACTCGCAGAATAATAATATTACAAAAAAAGTATTTACAAAAAAGTATATATATAGTAGTATTTAAGTATTTCTATTATTTGCTGGGCACTGCACCCAAAATAAAACCTCCAATTAATTTGAAGTTAGATATCGCCACGTAGTAATGTCTGTTCTGTTATCAAATAGTCACTCATTAACAGTTGTCATTCCATCTCGTGGAAACGACCTCATATATTGTAGCAAATGAATTAAAACATCGTTACGTTTAATTTTAAGCTAATTAACCCTATTTGAATGAATGAGTATACTTTATTTGCATTATACAATGTAGGAAATAAGCAAGACAAAAAACACAACGATACAATTGTATAAGTACAGTAAGGCGGTCTTATTGCTGAGAGCAATCTTTTCAAGACAACCTTAAGGTAATGGACTAATTGTTGTACAAGTAGGTATGATAGTACTTTATTTCTACTCCCCGTTACAACTAATCAATTATCATAATATGTTACTCTAGAATTACGTTACATTACGTTGCGTTAACAATCAATACGTTACTATAGAATGAGCTGTTTTTCCTAAAATAAGCAATCTTTGCTTAACAGGAGATACCAAACGCTGCAATGCAACTACCTTTGTATAAAGAAATAATTAACAAATTATTATAGAATGATATTATATACAAAACAGAACAATGCTTAATCTATTTATTTACAAATAAACATGAATGTTTGTATGTTTGTAGTCTATGCGTTCCTAAACCATTGATAAAATTGGTAAGGTTTCACAAGACGCTCGCGAAGGTTTCTACCCCAAAAAAAAATTATATGAATAAAAAAGTTTGTGATTTTTTTCTTTTTAATGAAACTTTTCACTTCAGCGAATTATTATTTATATATAAACAATACAGTCTGGGATGACTCCCCGCTAGATGGAGTGACGACTTCAAATGCATTGCAGGGAGTTAGTGCCATAAGGAACGGTTGCAGAACGGAATGTGCCTATGTTCAGCAGTGGACTGACAACGGCTGACATGATGATGATGATGATGATGATGATGATGTTATGAAAATAGAAATAATTAAAAAATAATTTGATATTACTTTGACATATTAGAAGAGACCTCAACGAAATCAACTCTGTAGATAAAAAGGAATTTATTACTGATAATTTTGGAATTGTGGACGAAATGCCAATGAGTTGGTTTGTTTGTTATCTGTTGGGATTTTTTATGTTTCAACCAATGTATGTAATTTGATATATATAGTTGGTATGTTGAACGGAGAAGAACACAGGCTGCAATTTTATTTCGGTCAACGAACACACCTCGGTCACGCGGGAATTTACTGGGTACGGAGGAATAACACGTGAGTCCTCAGGAATGGCAACGCATGGGGGGTATCATGGGCGAAACAGTATACTCTGTTACGTCCATGGTACTGTTCATATCTATAGGCGACAGTTACCACTTTCCATCAGATGGACTGTCAGCTTGTTTGCCATTCTGAGTTGTATAAAAAAAAAGGCGGACAAAGTCATATCATATAAAGATCGTTACAAATGTAAAATTAGAGTGGTTGAACAGGCCTAATTTGTATTTACACCACACGGCCATATTGACAGATCGCACTGAATGTGTCAGTGTAGTGCACTTGTTTATGGCAAGGTTGCAGCCTTGGCATTGACATCGTGAGTACACGTACACGGTTACATTGTAAACTATTTACTTGGTCCATCGACGCATCGCTCCGGAATATATCGGATGTAGGTATTATTGTAACTGAATGGCTATTTATTTCTGATACTTAGAATAACAGGCTGACCATTTGATGGCAAGTGGTAACCTGAACACCACCATAATTTTTAGTTTTGTACACTAAGTTCACGCAACACACAAATAATATAAGTTTATTTCAAAATAAATGTTACAAACATTTTTAAATATAGGTGAAACTCTGCTCCCTAAATAAGTAAATCCTGTACTTTATATATATATATAAAATAAAAGAAACAGTAAAACTTGAGGTACTAATACAATAACAATTTAATTTGTCCAAATAATATTTTGTAAGTGAATCTTGACTGCCTAATTTGTGAGTGTATGGAATGGATGAGTTATTGTAAAATGGCAGTCGTAACCTTAGATACTACTAATAATAAATCTTCAATTTCATCATATGTTTTACTTAATAAAAATAATCCACGCTTTTACACTAATTATTGCTGAACTTCCAGTGACGTAATTTATATTTATATTTGTGATGTACTCATTAAAGTTGAGACTGCAAGTCCCCCCGCTCCTGCCACTCCTCTGGGTGACGTCCGGGCGGGTGGTCGTGTGAGTCGCATTGTGACATATTATTGTTTATTATTTCCTACACCTACCTACCATACCAGGAGGACAGCACAAAATTGGCGACGAGGTGAAAATTTGTAAGTAAAAAAGATATATATATATATGTCATACGACTACAAAATTACCTGTTCTAATCAGTCCAAAGAGTGTGTAACTATCGCGTTGTTATTTTAATGTAACTCGACACGAATAACATTAAATTGTTAAATTTCTAAATTCACAAGGAAGAGAAAAGATAATTTATTAATTCTCAATCAATTTATTAAATATAGAAAAGACTAAAAGCAATTTCAAAAAGAAATAAAGACTTGATTCTATAAATTGTATAGAGAAAGCAAAATATTGATAAAACATATTACGGTGCATAGTACGTTTTGTAATTTAGCGACACACTGTGACTGATTTTAACGCGTTTGCGCATCATAGTCGTACGATAACTTGCTATACATGCCTAAACAAATGGTCGGCGTTTGTTGATGTCTAGGTATACCGTACCGCAAGCTTTCTGTTTATATTTACATCACAGTATAAGTGATTATAACAGTTGAATTCTTAAGATAAGTGGTTCGGGGATACCAGCGAATACTGACTATACATACAACAAAATGTGCCTGCATGTATTAGCCGAGTCGGAGTAATTATTCTGACAAATAAAATACACCGTACAATCCGAATGAGCAAAGCCCATCAAATACATAATTCAACATAAACTGTAATCTATTTAGATACAAGTTTATGCAATTGGTGGTTCCGATTATAGAGGTTGCTTCCATAATAAATAGATTTGTATGTAGGTATAAACCTAATACAAATGTAATTATCATAAGATAATTATGATATATTCAAACACTTCACATTAACTTCATTATTTGACAGATATTTGGTAAGAGTTGAGGTTACGATTTTATTTTTCTTACAAGGGACCAGCAGAATATTAGCGTTGCCGGTAGTTCTCTGCTTAATTCTGAGTTGGTTACCCTTTCGCCGTTGGGGCACATAAATTTACCTACGTATTTATG